ATTGCCGACGATGGGTCGTACAATACTTTACTAAAATTTTGAAATTATTAAGATTTAATCTAGTGAAATCTGATTATCCTTATCCGATGGGGCTTCAGCGATAACCATTTCACTAATAAACCCACAAATGGAGCCCGCAGGTTTTAAAATTAATTAATTTTTAAAACCTTCACCCATTCAACATTTTTGTTTGAGAATTTTCATAAGCCCAGTCGAATTCATTGTTTAATTTCAAAATTATCTTTAATAACTTAGTATTATCAACGATGGGCCGTACAATACTTTATTAAAATTTTGAAATTATTAAGGCCCAATAAAATCCAATCATGCTAATCCGTTGGGGATTCACATGATTATTTTATTGATAGGCCCACAATGCGCCTGGAGGTTAAATTAATTTCTTTATTTAAATCTCCTCCCATAATTATTTAAGTCCAATCTAATAAAATCCAATCATGCTTATTCGATGGGACTTCACATGATTATTTTATTAATGATCCTTATAATGCGCTTGAAGGTTAAATTAATTTCTTAATTTAAATCTCCTTCCATTCAACATAAGCAATATTTTCCAATTTCCAAGAATTATTTAATTGAGAGTATCCTTTGTTCGATTTCAAAAACTATATAAGTAAGAGCGTCGATAAACGTGCACTAATCTTAACATAATTTTGAAAATATTAAGGTCCTGAAATCCGGTCACTTTACGTCAGCGTGTGCTCCAAACAATCATGATACATGAATGTTGTATGCAGCGTGTGTTATTCCATGACCATTTCAGAAAACCCACAAATTACTCGCAAAATAAAAGAATTCTCTTAGGAAATTTTCTCTAATTATTTTTCTAGATTTAAATCATCCAAATAGCTGACTTAATTATTAATCTAGATTGCAACAATCATAATAATTATCATTTATGAGGATAATTTGAAATCAAAATAATTTCCATAACGATGATTTGTCTTGATGTTAATTATCCAAAATTAATTAATTCAATTATTAATCTAGATTTTTAATAAAAATCATAATAATTATTAATTAATTTCTTAGGATGATTTAAAATCAAAATAATCCCATAATAACTATCATACTAGTCGCTGAAGACATAATAGCTATTATGCTCATGCAATCATACAAGTTATGCAACAATATGGCACCACCTATTCTATATGGCATGTTATCGCAATAAAGCATATTACCAATCATATAATTTATACCAATCAATAAAAGCATTAAATAATAAATCATAATTACTTTAATCCATGGCCTTCCTATTTTAAAGAAAATAAAATAAAATAAAATAATACAACTTTGGAATTCGACTTTCGCCTAGCCCATAGTATCTGTGTCAAGCCCCTTTAGGGTTTCATGGGCCCAAAAGCCCAAAGACCCAATCCTTTGGCGAGAAACCCTAGGACGCGAAAGAGGAACCCTAGCCGTCAGGTCTGTAGCGCAGTCACCCGAAGTCAAATCAGGCTGAAACTCTAAGGGAAGGACCGCCACGTAGAGACGAGTGCACCGCCGCCGGAACCACCCAAAAAGGTGGCCGGACGCTCCCTCACTCTCCCATTCTTTGTCGGAGAGTGGCGGCCACTCTCAGCCTCTTGTGGAGGCGCGTGGGCGAGCGTGTGATATTCGATGGAGGCGATCCACCCACCGTTGCGTTCGTATTTCCGTGCTCTTTCCAACCATATATAGATCGCCCTATTCTGAGATCGGTAAGTCCTCGAAAAGTCTTCGACAGTGCTGACTGCGCATCTTCCTCGCGATTTCTCGATCTTGAACTTTTACAAAATATTGAAGAAAATACACAGAAATTCCAAAAATAAACAAAAATAGCAAGGAGGAAACCTAATCATATGGGATTAGCCTCTTTGTTACAAATCGAGAAATATACGAGAGACCCTAACCATGGATTAAAACAATTTTACCGATTAAAATTTAAACTTTTATGAAAATGAATTATAAAATACACATGCTACATTCATACCATAATCCTAGAACCCTAGGTGCCACATTTCAAGAAGCAAAACTAATTACATGAATAGTGAAACTAGATTCACATACCAATGTACAGCCAAGGCTCTGATACCAATTGTAGGAAATCTTAGATTTATGCGGAAGCGGTTTAGGACCTAGTACATTGGTATGCTTACCGAATCATCCTTGTTTCACAATTACCTCTCGGTACGCAGGTCTCGTGTAGAATCTTCCCTTGTAGGATTCCTCTTCACGAACAGCTCACCTCAGCGCCGCAGCACGAACAACCTCCTTGAAGCTGGACTGTGGCAGATCTTCCAGACTATCTCTTGAGGAGGATGAGATGGTTGTGTGGGCAACCGTTCAGATGATGAACGTCTGCCTCTTGGGGTTTGTTTCTGATGATCTGTTCACCTTTGAGGCACAAGAGGAGAAAACTATGAATATATATGCTTAGGTCTTAGACATAACTCAACCCTAAGCCTCATGGGCTCAAGTGTCACTGAAGCCCAATAGGACTTTAGTGACCAAAAGAGCATATATCCAACATCAATGACCTTCTAAAAGAAGCTAAGAAATGGCTCCCTGAGGCTGAACTAAAGAAGTTGCAAGACCAGCTGTGAAGGAGACCATTAACACAAGAAGAGATTGATGAGAAGAGGGACGAAGAAAATAACAAAATCCTAGAGAAAAGGCCACCACAATGAAGGGAGAAAAACCCTTCTTTTTATTGCATTTTGTTATTTTTACTACAATTTTCAGTTTCTTTTATTTTCTGTTCCCTAGTGTAAAAACTTTTCAGTTATAAATAGAAAAACCTTTTTGCTTATTGAAAATTCAAACTGTTTTGAGCAAACATTTTTTTTTTTTTTTTTTTTTTGATAACATTGAGCAAACATTTTAGTTATAGTAGTGTGGTTGTACAAGTTTTAATAAATAAAGGTATGGAATATAAAGCCAATGAGTGATAACATAGCTCACACCAGTTCCATCAACATCTTCTCTCTGCCACTCACCGTTGTTGTGCACGTCGTTGGAATCGACAACCAGACGAATATGGTCCATCCCCATCACTATATTCTCTCTGACACTCACCTTTATTGTGGTTTACTGATTTCTCTTGCCTCTGGTTGTGCTTATCGACTACCAGTCACTCACTATAATTTTTGGTTGAAACTTTATCTGGTCGTATCATTCTTTCTTTTACTTTTGTTTTATTGGTTCTCTTAGCCTTGTGTCAGGGTCAATGACTCAATGGGTCATATTCCAACAATTAGTTGGCTTCAACCTTTACATTTAAGGATTATTCTAATATAATATTGGGTTAGCCATTATTCTAATATAATAACGGTATATTGAAAATAATAAAACTGTAACATATTTTTTTTACTTAACCAAAAAATTATCAATTAAGAATTATGTGATAAATTATTTTTTATTTTAAATAAAAAAGCTTAATATAATGTGATTATGTGATAAACTATTTGATCATTCATGTGATTTTAATATTTTATATGCACAGTAACGATCTTACGATCCTTGTCGATTTTATGATTTACGATTTATTTACCCCCTCCCGATCTTAGGTAAGATCTCGATTTTAAAAACATTGGTTGTTGGATCCATACTTATAATTGTATAAAATGTTATTTAATAAAAGGGCCCCAGGCTCCAATTCAAAAGCTCGGCCTTAAAGCCTTTTAAGTTTGCCTATTAACTCTTTTTTTATTTTTTATTTTTTATACTAACCTAATTTTCACTCCCATCGTCGCACCCAACCCACTTAAGCCATCAAGCAACCGTTCTCCGTCATTCTCTTTGTCAAAGTCATCTCCAAGCATTTCACTATCGTTTTCCCTTTCGATTTCTACCATCTCTAAGTATTTGATTTTGTTCTATATTATGTTATTCGGATATACATTGAATTTATGAATCTTTTGTGAAATTATTAGTGTTGTTGATCATATATTTTGTTTGGATAAATTTTTGTTATCTTATTTTTTTTCATTGGCTAACAGGATAAGTCAGACTTTTATTTTTTTGTAAATAAGTCAGGCCACATGCCGATAATTATATTCATAACAGGTTACCGTCTAAGACAATTTGACATATTTAAATACAAGTTTAGCCTTTCAAGACCAAAACCCAGCCCGACTCGACCCGTTAACACTCTTGTACATAAGATAATTTTTGTGTGCTTTAAACTATATTTGAAATATGATAAATGCAGTGTAATTTAAGTTGTACACATACATATTTTTTAAAAGTTTATGTGTTTAATTATTGAGAAAAATATTTATCACGCCATAAGAGATAAAATTAATAAATTATCTTTACCAACCTTAAAACTATATCATTTTGAGGTTGAGGAAATTAATGAATGATATTTCAATAATTTTATTTATTTATTTGTTCTATAAATTTTATCAAAATACCATTTATTAATTTTTCAACCCTCAAAATAATGTAATTTTAAGGTTGTTGGTTATATTTTTTCTTTGTAGGAGTAACAATAAACCCTTAATTATTTATTAAGATCACCTTTTAAGATAGTGTTAACAATTGTACTTATCAAAAAAAAAAAAAATAGTGTTAACAAAAGATAAAAAGTCGACTAATAAATGTATTTTTTTAAAAAAACTAATTTAAATGCATAGAAAACAATCCTTAACAGGATTAGAAAACCTGTTAAATTCGGATTGCCGTAACTGAAATCATTCTAACCTCTAAGTTTGTTCTTGACTAACATCCCTTTATATATATATATATATATATATATATATATATAATGTGATTAATATCCTTTTGATTCCCTATTTTTTTTTTCTTTCCTTTTATCATTTATTCATCACTTTCTTTTTTTTTTTTTTTATAAAAAATTTATCACTTCTTTTTATTCTGTTATTATTGTAAGTTCGTGGCAAATTTCCGCACGTGCCTTGGCTGGAGGCGGTGTCCCCGTGCTTTCTTTCTTCACGGCAAAAGCATCCTGAATCCTCTTTGGCGTGGTCGTCGATACTCTGGGTTTTCTTTTCCAATTCCATGTAGTGATTTCTAACTCATTTTTGGCTCTGAACTGGATTGTTCACCATTTTAGGTTCGTCGTAACCCATCAATCTATTAGGGTTTCCTTGATCCTTTACTTCTATTTGTCGATTTGATTCGGTGTCTAGTGTTTCTTACTGTGGCTGTGGTTTGATTAAATTTGGTAATCTAAATTTAATCTTGTAATAATCAATCTCAGAAGGGGATCCCCTTACATGCGTAAACGGTTTTTTTTTTTTTTTTCAAGTTCATAGAGTTCTGCAAAATTGTGATGATTGCTGCATTCCATATGTTTTGCCTTTTCTTTTAAGATTTTGTACCTTCTGATAGTATAGGTTTCTTCCAGTACTGTGTTCGCGCCACTAATCAAATTGTTGACTTTTTATTTACGTTGGAATGAATTTATTTTTGACATTTAATACGCACAAGACATCAGGGTATTTGGTTTGTAACCTGATTACAGGGGTCTGGTACGGGCGAAGTGCTAGCTGATGGTGGAGTCCCGGAACATTTTTGACTTATATGAAGAATAATGAAGCTACAGGCACATATTTCGGGGCAGATATCAGGACAGGTACCTAATCAAGCAGGGTCTCAGTTGCCTGGACTGACCCAAGTGAATGGGAATGCCATCCCTCCTCAGATGCCAACTTTAGGTGGTATACAACGTTCAACAATTAATATGGATCCTGAATTTCTAAGAGCACGTTCATTTATTCAAGAAAAGATGTAAGATGTTTTTTTTATTTGTATAATCACATTTGTTCAGGGGTAACTTGACTATTTTGTCAGTAGGTTAATTAATGGAGATGGATATTTTTCTTAAAGTTGACTACCGACATACAAGTGTAAACTTAATTATGAAAGCCAGTATATGTTATAGATAAGTTCATAAACGAAATAAGTTGTTGGATTTATCTAAATAAAAAAGGGAAAGGAAAATCATTTTTTGGACAATATCATTATTATATATTCCTTCTTATGTGCCAATTAATGATTTGTGGCTCGCTTGTATTGCCTAATTGAATATTTAGGCTAAGATGTAATAATTTGATCAGTTTCAGAATTTTATTTAGATTGCAATAATTTGCTCTGTTTGCAAAGTATTTGCAATTTGCTGAGTCATGGTTCTTTGTCTTCCACTATATAGTTTATGGCTTAACTTTGTTTTAGCTAGGTCATTCTATCGAAGTTATTGATAAGGGATCCCTGCAGTGTAGATGCCATTAAGTGAACTAGATTAATGTCTCTGTATCTAATAGTATTATGTGCCTATTGCCCCACCTGGAATATCTTTTGACTTAAAAATAGTATAATATGCACATAAGATTAACTTATGATAATCGTTTTTCGTTCATGTCAATTTTACTTTACAGCAATAAATATTTTATTTTTTACCTTCCAGCTGGGATATGTTATTGCAACGACAACCGCAGCCAGTTACAGAAGTACAGAGAAGGAAGTATAAAGATCTTGCAAAACGCCTAGAGGAGGCCATGTTGAAAGCTGCTCTCTCTAAGGTTTTTTTTCTCTCTTGGACCTCTAGCTAGTTTTCTTTCCCGATATTTGGAGGGATCCAAATCTTCTTCTGTTATTTTAAATACTCAAGATTTCTGATTCTGGAAGTAATAACATGGAACCTTCTACCTACCTCTTCTATTTTAAATAATATTTTTGTGTTGACTATGTTTTGGAATTTCCTTTTAGGAGGATTACATGAATTTGGAAACCCTAGAGAGTCGTTTATCAAATGTCATCATACGAGCATCTATGAATAATCACAACCAACAGTATCCGCAGCTTGTTAGCTCTTCTCCAATTGGTACAATGATACCAACCCCTGGTATGTCGCATGTTCCAAATTCAAACATGGTGGTTGCATCGTCTATGGATGCCTCAATGATTTCTGGCAGTGGTTGTAATAGCATAGTATCAACATCTTTCAATAGTGTAAGCATGTTACCAGCTGCTGGCATGCTTGGCAGTTCCTTAAATAGATCTGATGGTAATATTAGATGTTATAATTCTTTACCAATGCTTTCACTTTTCTTTTATTTTCCTTCACTGTAGAGTATATTTATTGCAGGTTTGTCTAATGGTTATCAGCAGTCTTCTACGAGCTTTTCTGTTGGCTCAGGGGGGAATATGTCATCAATGGGGGTGCAAAGAATTGCAAGCCAGATGATTCCCACTCCTGGATTTACTGTCAGCAGTAATCACTCACACATGAATATAGATTCTACTACTACTGTCAATGCCTTTTCCAGTGTAGAGTCTACAATGGTCTCACAGTCACAGTTGCAGCAGCAGAAGCTGCATGTTGGTGGCCAAAATAGTCATGTTTTGCAGAACCTTAGCAGCCAAATGGGTAGTGCAATGAGATCTGGTTTACTACAAAAATCATTTGCAAACTCAAATGGTGCTATAAATAGTGGGCTAGGCTTGATTGGAAACAATATACTTGTAAACGAAACTGGCACTTCTGACAGCTATGCCTCAACTTATGCTAATTCCCCTAAACACATACAGCAGCACTTTGATCAAAATCAGAAACCAATAGTGCAGGGTAATCTTTCTTACTTCTTTCTCTTTTATTTTATGAAGGTATGAACCTAAAACCTTTAGGTCCAACTGAGCATCTGTGTAGAGTCGTATAACCTTTATGGCTATATTATTGTTTATTGGGTGGGCTTATGTGTGCATGTGCTGTATAATTTTCTCCTTTGAAATTGACATCTATCAGAAAGGGTAACAATTCTATTATCAGGTGATGGATATGGATTGAATAATGTTGACACTTTTGCTTCTGGAAACTTCTATGCATCTGCGACATCCTCTGGGTCTATGATGAACTCTCAGAACACGAATTCAGTAAAATTGCCATCAATACCCAAAACTACCTCATTGATAAGTGGTCACTCGAATTTGCACAGTATGCAGCAGGCTGCTCATATAAAGTCTCAAGCAATTAATCAGTTGGAAAAGTTGAATTTTCAGTCTTCATTGACTTCAAGAGACGGCCTTCTGCATTCTCAGCAGCAATATCAGCAAAGGCCCCAACAATTTCAACAGCCAGAGCAGTTTGCACAACAGCAATTTCAACTGAAGCTGCAAAGTCAACTGACTCAGCATTTGGTCAACAGTGATACTTTCAGTCAGTCTCAGCCGTCTTGCAATGTAGAAGAAAATCGAGTGAAGTCTGAGCCTGGAATAGAACACCATAAAGAAGTGCTCAATTCTCACGTTTCTGAAAAGTTCCACATGTCTGACATGCATATACAGTTCCAGCCGAACTCATCCGAAGATTGCTCTAGAGGTGCTCAGCATCTTTCATTTCCATCTGGGCAGCATGATTTATCCTCATCAACAACTCCAAGTTCGCAACAAATGGTGCACCCACACCAATTGGTTGCAGAGCCTCAAAATAATTTTAGCTGTCTTACTGTTGGGGCACAATCCAAACCAGTAGTTCTAAACCAATGGACTCAATCACATGATGGAAACCACGTGCCTGACAATATTTCACATGACCAGCATCTCCAAATGGATTTCTATCAAAGAATATCAGGGCAAGATGAAGCACAGTGCAATAATTTATCATCTGATGGATCTATTATTGGTCAAGCTGTTCCTTCTAGAGGCTCAGCTGAGCTGCTAGACTCAGGAAGTGCTATCAAAAAGGAGCACAGGAATCAACAGAGGTGGCTTTTATTTCTACTTCATGCAAGACGATGTCCTGCCCCTGAAGGACGATGCCAAGAACGCTTTTGTTCTATTGCGCAAAAGTTATGTAAGCATATAGATGGATGTACCCTACGTCATTGTCCATATCCTCGTTGTCATCATACCAGGGAATTGCTTCATCATTTCAAAAATTGCAGAGATCCATGTTGCCCTGTATGTGTTTCTGTCAGAAATTATCGACGTGCATTTCAACTCAAGCCTCAAATTCGGCTGGAACCTGAATCTAGTTTGCCAGTTGCAGGAAATGGATCCTGTAAATCCTACAATACTGTAGACGCATCACCTAGATTGATCTCGAAGCCTCTATTAGTTGTTGAAACTTCAGAAGACCTGCACCACCCATCTCTAAAACGTATAAAGATTGAGCATTGCATCCAGTCTGTTAATCCTGAAAATGACAATTCTGCTTCATCTGTTTCTGCAAATTGCGAATCTCATGTTTCTAGGGATGCACAGTCCCAAGCTTATCCCAATGCTGAGAAGTCTATCTCAATTAAATCTGAGCTAACAGAACTTAAGGAGGAAGCTCCTGCACATTTGGTGCATGAAAAGCTTAGCGAGATGAAGATGGATAATAATAATGCAGATGATAAACTACCTGGTGGTGAACCTGCTAATTTTGCTAGGCCAGAAAATATTAAAACGGATAAAGAAACTGGACGAGATAAGCAAGAAAATGTGATGCAGCCATCTGAAAATGCAGCTGGAACCAAGTCTGGTAAGCCCAAAATAAAGGGGGTCTCATTAACTGAATTATTTACTCCAGAGCAAGTCAGGGAGCATATCGCTGGCCTCAGGCAATGGGTTGGCCAAGTAAGTCTTTGTATATTTCGTGCCATCTTTTTTCTGGAAAAAATGAATTTAATTCCATTATTTCAATAATACTTTATCTGTAGTATAAACCAGTTTCATTGTAGTTAAAAATCTATGAAACTTCATTCAGTTTGCCTATTCTTCTTGATAATAGTTTGTGTATATGTTGTTTTTATCAGTACGTATTACTGTTCCTTTGTTATCTGAAATATGATTTGCACTCTGTGTAAGTATGTGTCAACAGACATGTAAATCATCAGCAACCTCATGTTTGATTGCACATTCTTCACTTCCAGAACATCAGTAGCTGGGGAGTTCACAAGTTCAAAGAATTTCTTAGTTGCTGTGGTGTCTAACTCTCTAACTCAACTTTAAAAATAAGATAGAATGAGAAAACAAAAAAACGGACCATGTACTGTTATTTTGTGGCAACTAAAATATGGTTTTTTGGATCACAACAGTGGACATTTTTTCAAAATTATAGAATAGGATATGTTCATGTTATAAAAAAAGGAAATTTTATTAGAGTGAGGAAATGATTACAAAAGAAGTTATAATAGAACTCCGTTCCCTCTACAACTCTGCGAGTGAGATTCTCTGAAAGGATGGATGTGCTGAACCACTTGGAGAGATTGATAACAATTATATGCCAAAGCAAGTCTAGGGACAAAGATTTTCCCTTAAGGATGTAGGCATTTTGCTCTAGCCAAAGGCACCAAATAACAGCATACAAAGCACACTGCCTCAACAATATGTCCTCCTTCCTTTGTCCAAAGCCTGTGAATCTATTTAAAAGAAAATACCCCAATCTTTGAGGGCATTCCCAGGATTCATCAGACAAAGTCTCCTCTGAATGTATCAGCTGAAAAAATATGAACTACGCTTATTATGTTAATGGAGAACTTGGGTTCCTAATTTCCATTATCGCATATTACAAAACCCAAGGCTGTCTTTACTAATATCAACAAAAAATAATTAAATAAAAGCTATATTCACGGTCTACTGAACTCTGGTTTTCGATGCATATATGTCTATCATATATTTCATTATTTGAATCTTTTCTCCATCTCATGCTCTCAGTGTTGTGAAAGTGTGATTTCTTATTGTTGTTCTAGAAGGCTATAAGCTCCATTTACTTAATGCACTCAACTTCATAAATTGCGGTTTTCATAATATTGTGTATACAACAAACCAGAAAGATTAATTCAACCATTATATGTTTCTTCTTAATTTACTGTCCTTTACATGCTAGGTTATGTTATTTTTCCCAAAGCTGAGGTTTATAAATATTTAAAGGTTTAGGTAAGCATTATATTATGCCATTTTTTACTTGTTCATTTGCTATATCCCATGCATAATGTTTCCCTAGTTGTCTCTGGTATCCTCTTGTTACCTTGGTGCATGATTTTCTTTTGATAGAGCAAATCAAAAGCAGAGAAGAATCAAGCAATGGAGCATTCGATGAGTGAGAACTCCTGTCAATTGTGTGCTGTAGAGAAGCTTACGTTCGAACCACCTCCTATTTATTGCACAACTTGTGGGGTTCGCATTAAGCGAAATAATATGTATTATACCATGGGTACTGGTGATACAAGGCATTATTTTTGCATTCCATGCTATAATGATGCTCGTACAGAGAGCATCAATGTTGATGGCACTCCCGTTGCGAAGTCAAGATTGGAAAAGAAGAAGAATGATGAGGAAACCGAGGAATGGGTGTGTGCCATGTGTTATTTGTTGCTTGGTTGGCAGTTTATTTCTTTTATTAACAATCTATTTTTTGTGTGCAGTGGGTTCAATGTGATAAATGCAATGCTTGGCAACATCAAATTTGTGCCTTATTTAATGGTAGGAGAAATGATGGTGGAGAAGCTGAATACACTTGCCCTAACTGCTATATTCAAGAGGTAGAAAGAGGAGAGCGCGAGCCTTTACCCCAAAGTGCTGTACTTGGAGCCAAGGATTTGCCTAGAACTATTCTCAGTGACCATATAGAACAAAGATTATTTAAACGGCTAAAGCATGAAAGACAAGAGAGGGCGAGGCTTCACGGGAAAAGTTATGATGAGGTGATTCAAGTACTGGTTGGCAGAAATGTTTGATTACACTTTTATTTCATATTTTCTTTAATATTGTTAGAGTATCTAAGAAATATCTCATAGTATCATCATTGTATTTTAGATGATCTCTTAGGAGTATATTCAAATTGTTAGAGAATTATATAAACCATTAATGGGCCTTCGCTTAATAGCTTAAACTTTTGGGTTGAAATGGTTCTTTACATGGTATCAAAGCCTTGATGTACCGGGTTCGATTCTCACCGCCCCCTCACTTTCTTTCTAGTGGAATTTATTTCTTAGCACGGATAGATGGGCGTGTGCATTGTTTACCCTTCAAGCCCAATGGGTTCTTGTGTGAGAGGGCGTGTTAGAGATATATAAAACCATTAATATAACCTCACCTACCAGCTTAAGCTTTTGGGTTGAATTAGTTCTTCACGTGGTATTAGAGCTTCGGTTTCACGGGTTCGATCCTCATCATCCTCCACTTTCTCTTGTGGAATTTCTTAGCACAGGTAGATGAGCCTGTGCATCATCCATCCTTCATGCCCAGTGGGCTCTTGTGTGAGGGGGCGTGTTAGAGAATTATATAAACCATTGATGGGCCTTCACTTAACAGCTTAAGCTTTTAGGTTGAAATGGTTCTTTACACAAATCTTATTATATTTCATGATTTTTTTTCTTAATTAATCAGCAATAGGAATCTAATATTAGTATAAATAATGGTTTGTACTTTGTCTTTTGTATCACATCATAACACTACACAAGAGATTATTATCTAGAATCTATTCTTTTCTTCCTCCTTCCTTATTTTCATCCCCATAATTTTAACTTAGTATCAAAGCCACACGTTAAATATAGTTTATTTCCTCCATTGTGTTGAGTTCATAGAACTCAATTACCATTAAACATATTTCTTGTGTTTTTGTTTTTTCATCTTTGGTTGTTTCCGATTTCTCCATCACAAAGTTTATCGTATCTAGTTTTTCTCAAGCACTTGTTCTATCATGCATCCATGTAGTCGTTTTGGTCTGTCTGTTCACAGATTGGCTCTATTTTAGCCTATCTTTCCGTAGACTGGCTCCGTTTCAACCTGTCTTGTTGCCTTGCTGCAACCTCACTTCATTCCAGCCTATCTTTCCACATTTTAGCTCAATCCCAGAAGCATTTTGGCAAATAGAGAGCCTCCTTGTACAGACTTATATACTTGAATATACAATATATTTCAGATTCAATTTGGTATCAGAGCTCTCGATCTGAGGGCTCTGCTTCCGCATATATATCTTTCTCTTTCTTTTTACTGCCGTGCATCATACCGGCAACCATCCTTTCACACCTAACCCTTATTTAGTCACAAATTTCTTGTCCTCAACCTCGTATCATCAGGAAAAAGATCGTCAGCCTCCGTTCATCGCCGGAAACCGCCACAAAACCACCGTCCGCCACTGTTCACCGCCGTCAGACTGCTTTTCCGGCGACTTTTCCGACCAACCACCACGCGATCAGGAGCGGCTCAGGGAGGCGACCCTGTCTGTCCAAGCCGCGTGTTGATCGGAGCATCCACGCGCCGCCACGCGCCGGTGGAAGTCTCCGGCGGCCGAACCACTGTTCCGGCGCGTGAGCCACCGTCCGGCCACCGTTCCAGGCCGGACCACCACCATCTTGCTCGCCTCCTCACCCTCTTTCCAGATCTGGTCTCCGTTCGTTGTGGGTCCCATCCGTTTGAAAGATATCAGTGAAAAACCCGTTGTTTGGACACTTTTGTGCAACGTTTTTGCGCGATTTCTTGCTTTCTTGTAGTTCTTTGCTATTTTCTGGTCATCTCCTTTTATTTTGTGATGGAGGGCTCAAATAATGCGTCCAAAAACACGACTGGCATCATCTCCGGTACTACCCCATCTCCATTCTTTTCTCGGGCCAGTGATTCCAATTGGAACAGTGGACGCGGTCGCAGACGTGGCCGCAGACAGAGGCCTCGTTGCAATTATTGCCAGAATCTTGGGCATTTTGAAGAACGCTGCTATAGGAAGTACCCTCATTTGAAGCCACCGACTGCCAACTTTGCTCAAACTGATGTTACGCCACCTTCAACTGGATTAGTAACTCTTTCAAGTGTCGACTATGAGGCACTTCTCAAGAAGGTTTCTTCTCAGCATCCTACTCAAGACACTGGTAATCATGTTGCTTGTTTTTATCAATCATCTCTTGGACCCTGGATAATAGACTCAGGTGCTACTCATCATCTTTGTGGTAATAAAGATCTCTTCACTTCACTTTCTTATTCTAATAACCTACCCCCTGTCACTCTTGCTGATGGCACTAAGGCTCCTGCTCGTGGAATTGGGGAAGCCAACCCAACTCCTCTTTTAACTTTGAGTTCTGTTTATTATATACCTGGCATTCCTTTTAATTTAATCTCTGTTAGCCAGTTGATTCATTCTCTTTCATGTACTATTACCTTCTCTAAACAATCCTTTTCTATGCAGGATTCGGGTACGGGGAAGACGATTGGAGCAGGCGTTGAGTCACGAGGTCTCTACTATCTGATTGCACCACCTTCTCCAGTAGCCTGTTCTCTCACAGAGTCTCCTGAGCTAATTCACAGCCGTCTGGGTCATCCAAACCTCTCCAAGCTTCAGCATATGGTTCCCTTTTTATCCAATCTTAAGTCTTTAAACTGTCATTCTTGTCAGCAAGGAAAACACACTCGCTCCTCCTTTGCTAATAGAGTCAATAAAAGAGCTGATGCTCCTTTTTCTATTGTTCATTCTGATATTTGGGGTCCGAGTCGAACAACGTCTGTTTTGGGTTTTCAGTATTTTGTCACCTTTATTGATGATTTCTCCCGTTGCACTTGGGTTTATTTAATGAAAAATCGTTCTGAGTTATTTTCAATTTATCAAAAGTTTTGTGCAGAAATAAAAACTCAATTTGGTGCTTCTATTCAAATCTTGCGCAGTGATAATGCAAAAGAGTATGTGTCTCTTGAATTTTCTAAATTTCTGGATACACAAGGGACGATACACCAGACTACCTGTCCCCACACTCCACAACAAAATGGAGTCGCTGAACGTAAAAATAGACATCTAGTTGAAACTGCACGTACCCTTCTCATTCATATGAACGTCCCACTCCGTTTTTGGGCAGATGCTATTATCACCTCATGTTTCCTTATCAACCGCATGCCCTCTTCTGTGCTAAATAATGATGTTCCCCACAGTATTTTGTTTTCCGGAGCACCTTCTTATCCTCTGCCTTTACATATTTTTGGCTGTACTTGTTTTGTTCATGATCTTACTCCAGGTAAAGACAAGTTGACATCCAAGGCCTTCAAATGTATTTTCCTTGGGTATACACGTTTTCAAAAAGGGTATCGTTGCTATTCTCCTGATCTCAAGCGTTATATCGTTTCTGCTGATGTCACTTTCCTTGATCAGCAGCCTTTTCACTCTACTCCGTCTCCAGTGTCCCAAGTTGATCAGGTCCTTCCTGTTCCTTTTCTTGATTTGTCTTTACCAGCTGCAGGTGACCCTATTCCAGAGGAGCAACCAATTACCTCCATACCTGCAGATCGTCCTCTCCTCACATACCAGCGTCGTCAGCCTGCACCTCCTCCGACTTTGCCTCTTGATGACTCATCGCCCTTTCCCGTCGGCTCTTCTCCTCCGGATCCTCCATCAGAGACTCCTCCCATTGCCCTTCGGAAAGGTATTCGATCCACTCGAAATCCTCATCCCCTTTATTCTTTCTTGAGTTATGACAGACTTTCTTCACAACATTTTACTTTTGTTTCTAGTCTCTCTTCTGTTTCCATCCCTAAAACCACAGGTGAAGCACTATCTCATCCAGGGTGGCGCCAGGCGATGCTTGATGAAATGCAGGCACTTCACTCCAATGGCACTTGGGATCTTGTTCGTGCTCCTCCCGGGAAGTCTGTTGTTGGTTGTCGATGGGTGTTCACAGTTAAAGTTGGTCCTGATGGCACTGTTGATCGCCTTAAAGCTCGCTTAGTGGCCAATGGATACACACAGATCTTTGGTCTTGATTATGGGGATACCTTTTCTCCTGTTGCTAAGATGGCTTCTGTTCGCCTGTTTCTTGCCCTTGCCGCCATTCATCACTGGCCCCTTCTCCAACTTGATATTAAGAATGCTTTTCTACATGGTGACTTGCAGGAGGAAGTTTATATGGAGCAACCACCAGGTTTTGTTGCTCAGGGGGAGAGTTCTGGAATGATATGTAAACTTCGGAAATCTTTATATGGCCTGAAGCAATCTCCTCGGGCCTGGTTTAGCCGCTTTAGTTCAGTTGTTGAATCCTTTGGATTAATCAGAAGCAAAGCCGATCATTCTGTCTTTTACCGGCATAACTCTTCTGGCCAGTGCGTTTATCTCCTGGTCTATGTTGATGACATTATCATTACAGGCAGTGATCAGACCGGGATTGATCAGTTGAAAAAGCATTTATTCAATCAATTTCAGACCAAAGATCTTGGCAGACTTCGATATTTCTTGGGGATCGAGTTGCACAGTCTAGGCGGGGCATTTCCATCTGTCAGAGGAAGTATGCACTGGATATCCTAGATGAGACTGGCATGTTAGGTTGTAAACCCATTGATACACCTATGGACCCCAATGTTAAGTTATTACCAGGACAGGGGGAGCCACTGCCAGATCCTAGTCGCTACCGCCGACTAGTTGGAAAATTGAATTATCTTACTGTGACAAGGCCAGATATCTCCTTCGCAGTGAGTGTTGCAAGTCAATTTCTTGATTCTCCTTGTGACTCCCATTGGGATGCAGTTATTAGAATTCTCCGATATATTAAAAAGGCGCCAGGAAGAGGTTTATTATATACAAATAAAGGGAGTTCAGAGATCTCTAGTTATTCAGATGCTGACTGGGCAGGTTCTCCTTCAGATAGACGATCCACCTCAGGGTATTGTGTTCTCTTCGGAGGAAATTTGATCTCTTGGAAGAGTAAGAAGCAAACTGTGGTCGCCAGATCCAGTGCGGAGGCAATATCGGGCAATGGCAAATGCAACCTGTGAGCTCATCTGGCTGAGTCAATTGCTGAAGGAACTCCATCTCTGTGAACAAAGGCCTATGAAGCTCATTTGTGACAACCAAGCCGCTTTGCATATATCCTCTAACCCAGTCTTTCATGAGAGGACCAAGCATATAGAAATTGACTGTCATTTTGTTAGAGAAAAGATCCAGTCAAGGGAGATCGAGACAACATTTGTCAATTCCAATGATCAACTTGCGGATGTATTCACTAAAGCTCTTAGAGGTCCCCGAATAGATCATATTTGTAACAAGCTGGGAGCTTTTGATATATACGCACCAGCTTGAGGGGGAGTGTTAGAAATAATATTAATTTATTATTAGAATAGTCTAGAATAGTCTAGAATAGTCTAGATTGTGGGCTTGGCCCATTAGGTCATCCCATTAGGTCTTTTAGTCTCTATAAATAGAGAGCCTCCTTGTACAGACTCATATACTTGAATATACAATATATTTCAGATTCAATTATTATAATATCCAGGAAATATCTCATAACATAGTATTGTATCTTAGAATAATTTAGAGTATATTAGATAATCTGCTGTGATTAGTTACTATATTTCTTTATATTTTATGATTTGTTTCCTTATTTAATTTGGATGAGTCATCTATTAGTATAAATAAAAAGTGCTTTAGATTACCCCAAAAAAAAGTGCTTTGTCTTTTATATCATATCACATTCTTTACAACAATATCAGTATAATTTTATTGATTTCAGCATAGTGTCAAATAAGTATCATCTTCCACGATCTGTCCTGTCACAATTCTGTTGTTCAGTTTCCTAAAATATGGAACTCTATTGTAACGAAATTATTATCTCCATAATTTTTTTCTTCTCATTGGTTGTGCACGAATCCCAGTTATGTCTTTTCTCTCAAGTTCATCTTTGTTAATGAACTTTTATGCCCATTGCAACCACCATCTTCTCTATTTGTCCCTCTGCCTTGTTGACTTTCCAACAACCTGAATCTTGCCATCCATTGCTGACTGCTGCCATTCGATTTCCTCATGAGGTTTCCAGCTAATAACCTGCTTTCGTGAGCATCCACTCCAAATCAACCTTCTCCCGCAATCTCAGCCTGAACTTTGATCACATTCTCTCACACACTGCTCCCCACATTCTTGTTTCTCTCATGCACAATTGCTGCTTTGGATTTCTCATTATCTAAGCAGTAACTCCACCGTGGATTCCATCAAACAGAGGCATGATTCCAATAAATTGCCAAGGCCCTCCTTGGCTTTCTTTCCTTCCATCAGGAACTTCTGGTAGGATACTGCAAGAGACCATAAGCCCTGCTCTGCAAACTTATCAATAACAGCATGAACTCCTTATTCAATCTCTGGTTTATTGTGCGCAAGGTTCAAAATCTGCTCTGGTGCACCTTTGCTGACACGATGCATTTTACCTTCACTGTTTATATAAGTCAGAGCAGTACGCTTGTCGGTTGGATTGAAGGGAAGGAAGTGAACCTCTTGAATACCAGCCCTTGCCTCTTTTGGATCTCCCAGCATCTATAGCGTCTTGGTTTTCCACCCTGGAAGCCCGAGCAACCATGAGAATAGTAGCATGTGTTGGGCCCGTTAGATCCAGTTCACCCATAACAATGATTTAAATTAGGTCGTGAATTTTTTTTTGTTTGGGCTCAATTTGTCAATGCTAGCCAAGTGTTTAGCCCACTACCCAACCCATTACTTCCCCATTTATTGGCCTGCATTTCAAAATTATTTGGTGCCTTGTTGTCATAGGAAAAGGCCCTGAGCGTATGATAACTTCCCCCCACCACTTATCCGCCTGTGTGTCTGCTTCGCCCCAACGGTGACCTTACCCGACCCGCGCACGAATCATCTCCTTTTCCCTTGCCTCCAACTTTTGCATCATTGCCTCTTCTTCAAACACTCCAACTTCTTTTCGCTTTTCTGCCTTCTCCTCCAGTGGAAGTCGCCAGAATTTTGCTCCCCACCGCTCGCCGCCGTACGTCGTCGGGCCCCGTGAGAAGACTGGGTCGCAGTCCCACAGTCATTGGAATTTTGCATGTCGCTTCCCTGCATGTTGCCAATCGGGTTACGCCACCGTCGATTCGCCATTTTCGCCACTGTCAGCCGTCGGAACCATGTGCGCCTATCACTGCGTAGCTCCTTGCCCTTCCATAGCTATTGTTTCTTCCTCTACGTTTCTTTCTCTAGCTTCTGTTTCTTCCGCTTCTTTTCTTTTTTTCCCTCCTTCTTTACATGGTTCTTCATCTTCTTTTTCAATTTATTCTTTGTGTTCAAAATTGTTCTTCTTCTTGATCTAAAATCTCTCTGTCTCCATCTTCTCTATTGCTTCATCGAAAACCTTCACCACTTTTAACAACATTTCCTTGAGCTCTAAATTGCTGATTCCTCCCTTAGTTTTCATTTCTTCACAACTCTGGACCAGAAGCACCTCCAAATCGCAGATGCCCTTATACCAAAATGATGGAACCCAAGATGAACACACTGATTTTATTGCTTCAATGGAGGCATAGCCTCTTTTTACAAATGGCAACTCAATACATGCATACCCCACTCCACATATTCCCTCTCCTTTTATTCCCTCCTCTAAGAATATTTTAGAAAATTTCCCTAACAAACTAACTAACCCACTCACCACTTTCAGACCCAGCATCTTCTTTTTTTCTTTTTTCTTTTTTTTCCTTTTTTTCTATTTGAGCCTTCAAATGTTGTTCTTGGAGAAGCTTTTAGTTCTTGTTGTATGTCATTGCTTGGCAAGAAACTTTCGCTGTTGGTCATGCAAATTCGAACCAACTCTTCAAGTTGATGGTCATTCCAGCTAAATTGTAAAGTTATATTTGCAGCAATGTTTATCTTTCTTACGTCTCCATCTTCCTTGAATGCCTTTCAACCATGTTTCGTGGAATCTAGATTATATTGTTTGGTTAATTTTTTAGTAAATATGGTTATTTTTTACTTTTTAAGGAGTTTATTTGTTACAAGCTAATCTTAAGTTTATTTTGTCTTTTCTTGCCATTAAGTTTTATTTTGTTTATTTTCTTAATATTTGATTTAACAAGCTAAAGTTTTAACTTGAGGGGAAATGTTAGACTATCGGGAAAATATATCATAATATCATTATTTTTATCTTTGAAGATCTCTTAGGAGTATTTTCTTATTTTATGATTTTTAATTAATTAGGATTAGGAGTGTAGTGTTAGTATAATAGGGGTTAGTACTTTGTCTTCTGTATCACGTCATTACACTCAAGAGAATATTGTTCTGAATCTATATAGACTCTTCCTTCTTCCTACCTAAATCCCTATAATTTTATCAAATATATTTTAGTTCTTTCCGTTTTTTTCCATTGTTTTTTTTTTTTTTTTAGGATATTAATATTTACACTTATGAGGGAGAGCCTGGAGCAGTGGTATAGTTGATCCTTGGTGACGGAAAGGTCATTGGTTTGAATCCATAAAATAACCTATTTGCTGAAATGCAAGGATAACGTTGCGTACAAGGATTTTCCTCACCCCTACTCTCACAAATTGGGATTTCATGGGGGAGTGATTTATTAATATTTACATTTCTTCCTATTCTTGGTTTCCTGTGGACTATTGATGTCATTTTGACTTGTATGTTACCAGGTGCCTGGAGCTGAAGCTCTTGTTGTAAGAGTTGTGTCATCTGTTGACAAGAAGTTAGAAGTAAAGCAGCGGTTTTTGGAGATTTTTCAGGAAGAAAATTACCCAACTGAATTCCCATATAAATCCAAGGTAATGGGAAAATTGCTTTTAAGATCTAATGCTAATCAAATCATCATCATTAGTCGTGAATATTGATGCCTTTAGCTTTCTATTCCAGGTAATATTGCTGTTTCAAAAGATTGAAGGTGTGGAAGTATGCCTATTTGGCATGTATGTCCAAGAATTTGGATCTGAATGTCAATTCCCCAATCAGCGCCGGGTGTATCTATCATATTTGGACTCTGTGAAGTATTTTAGGCCTGAAGTTAAAGCAGTGACTGGAGAGGCTCTTCGGACATTTGTTTACCATGAAATTCTGGTAAACATAAGTCACTATTGTATTGTATTGCTCTTATAATGTCTGTTACATCCTTTTGGAACCCATTCTTGGAGGGTCTCTAGTTCTGGAGTATTATCTTCCTGTAAATTATATAATAATTTATCAATTTTCATGGAAATTTGTTTCTTTGTAGATTGGATACCTTGAATATTGCAAAAAGCGTGGTTTCACAAGCTGTTATATATGGGCCTGTCCTCCATTAAAGGGTGAAGATTATATTTTATATTGTCATCCAGAAATTCAGAAAACACCAAAATCCGATAAGCTTCGAGAATGGTGAGCCTAAGAGCGCTTCAGTATAAGCAAAAAGAGAAAGAAAGACCTATCTAATTGTTTTACTTGTACAATGTGAAGGTTTATTGATATCTAACTTTAGTATCTTTTGTAAACACGTTTCTTCAGGTATCTATCCATGCTAAGAAAAGCTGCCAAGGAGAATATTGTGGTCGATCTTACCAACTTATATGATCATTTCTTCGTATCTACTGGTGAATGTAGGGCTAAGGTTACAGCTGCAAGACTCCCATATTTTGATGGTGACTACTGGCCTGGGGCTGCAGAGGATTTGATTTATCAGCTTCGCCAGGAGGAAGATGGTAGAAAACAAAATAAGAAGGGAACAACTAAAAAATCCATAACAAAAAGGGCTTTAAAAGCGTCTGGTCAGTCAGATCTTTCAGGAAATGCCTCGAAAGATCTGCTTCTCATGCACAAAGTAATTCACCGTTTTAAATATATAATACAAATATTGTTGTTCTTTTGCGGGAATGAGATCCCTTTCAAATCATTTTTAAATTCTTTGGAAATGTTATATAACTAAATTTTCAAATATTAATATCTTCTCCTTATCTCCTTTTAATTTTCATCTTAGGTCCTTATGTGTAATAATTTTCTTCTTTGATCTTTCTCCAGCTTGGTGAAACCATTTGCCCGATGAAGGAAGATTTTATTATGGTTCATTTGCAGCATGTATGTACTAACTGTTGTATTCTAATGGTGTCTGGCAACCGTTGGCTTTGCAACCAGTGCAAGAATTTTCAGATTTGTGATAAGTAAGGATTCTTCAATCCTATCTCCATGTTTTGTCATGTGACATTTCGGCTCCAATTGGTTAAAAATATACGAATGCACTATATCAAAATTGTGTCTTCTCCAACTTAGTTGAGAGAAGTCTTGAACTGCATCCTGTAGTTTTAATAAAATGCTGTGTCCCCATGTCTTTGTCGTGTGGTGTCCATCTCCCGTGTCATATCCATGTTTGCTAGACTGCTGCGTGGGTAAGCTGAATATTCTTCAAGGAGTATTTGGAATAGGCTTTAGTAGGGCCTTCTAAGCATTGCAATTTGTAAACCATCACTCATGAACAAGAAGAGAGACACATGAATGGTGGGGTTGTATCAGAGTTAAGGGAGAAATAGAAAGTAAGTGCGGGAAAAGAGAGAGAAATCTTGAGAGATAATTATCGTTATATTTTGATAAAACAAATACACTGAATCTGAAGATAGAAAGCTCTATTTATAGAGCTGTAGCTCACTCAAACCTGAGTCAGAGACTAACCAAAAATACAATCATAAGCCTAACAACTTGATATGTAGCCTAAAAATCATAAGGCTATCCGAAAACTCTTTAAGTTTGCTTCTTAATTTAACAAACCGATTGGTGATAGAGCTTCAGCAGACTCTCAGCAATTTGATATGAAGCTAGTATATATGAAACAAGGTGCTTGGCAAGAACCTTTTAACGAACAAAAGAGATGTCTAACTCCATATGTTTTGTGCGTGAATAGAGAACAAGATTGTAGGAAAGAGCCATTCTACTAAGATTGTCACATAAAACCATGGGAGTGGAGTGTTGCACCTGAAGCTTACAAAGAAGGGATTGAGTCCAGAGTATCTCAGCTTAAGTAACAGCCAGGTTTTTATTTTCTGCCTTATTACTAGACCTTGTTACAAGGGTCTACTTCTCTGACCACTAAGACACAAGAGTAGGCCTTAGTAATAGACAAACTCCTTAAGTCAAACGTCTGTCATCTGGGTCACACAATATGCTGTGAGAATGAGGGTAACAAGTAAGCATAAGACCATACAAAGAGGTGCCTCTAAGATATTGTAGAATCTGCTTGACAATGCGCCTATGATCATCAAGAGGTTGTTCCTAAATTGTCACACCTTATTAACCACATAACTAATCTTAGGTCAAGTAATGGTAGCATACTGAGATGTCCCAACAATGGATCTGTAGTAATGGGAATCTGAGTATTAATTGGAGCCATATCTAGTTAGCTTGCAACTAGAGGGCATCATTGAAGGTATGTTTTTGGTTTCATGCATCTCAGCTCTAGCTAGAAGGTCTTTATCTCCACACCAAGAAAATAATCAAGGATCTCCTTTGTCCTTTAAAGCAACCTGAGAGCGAAATTTAGTAATAATATGTTGTATAAGGATGAATTTGTTGCAGTCATGATTTTATCATCCGCATACACGAGTATTGTTGAGATATATAGTCCCACATTGGTTGTATGTGCAACCAATGTGGAGTTATAAGGTCTTGGGCACTCCCACCCTTTGAGCTAGCTTTTGGGGTGGTGTATCCCAAGGTTCTTTACATGGTATCAAAGCCTCGCCGCCCCCCACTTTCTCTTGTGGCGTTTCTTAGCACAGGTAGGCTGGGCCTGTTGCATTGTCCACTCTTCAAGCCCAATGGGCTCTCGTGTAAGGGGGCGTATTGAGATATATAGTCCCACATTGGTTGTATCCCAAGGTTCTTTACATGGTATCAGAGCCTCGCCGCCCCCCACTTTCTCTTGTGGCGTTTCTTAGCACAGGTAGGCTGAGCCTGTTGCATTGTCCACTCTTCAAGCCCAATGGGCTCTCGTGTGAGAGGGCGTGTTGAGATATATAGTCCCACATTGGTTGTATGTGCAACCAATGTGGAGTTATAAGGTCTTGGGCACTCTCACCCTTTGAGCTAGCTTTTGGGGTGGTGTATCCCAAGGTTCTTTACAAGTATTTAAGTGCAACTTTGTGCTATTCGAAGAATGAATAATGAAAGGTCACAATAGCTATCCTGGAAACAGAGACTAAGAAGACATTGCTCGAGCTTGTCAAACCATGATCTAGGTGCCTGAGCCTTGTTCAACTTACAAACCAGAGACTTGTTGGTAGATCTAAAGCCCGAGGTTTAATTATATAAACTTCCTGTAAAGAACCAATTCAACTCAAAAGTTTAAGCTGTTAAGTGATGGCCTCTTTAATGGTTTTATATATCTTTATCACGCCCCCTCACAAGAGAGCCTATTGGGCTTGAAAGGTGGATGATGCATCAAGCCTAGCTAACCTGTGCTAAGAAATTCTACAAAAAAAATGGAAAACGACGATGATCGAACCCGGGACACTGAGGTTCTGATACCATATAAAGAATCAATTTAACCCAAAAACTTAAGCTGTTAAGTGAGGGTCTCTTTAATGGTTTTATATATCTCTAACACTTCCTCTTCTAAATCTCCATTAAGAAAATTATTATTGATGTCTAGCTGCCTAAGCATCCAGCCATGTGTAAGAGCAAGAACGAGCATTACTCTAATTGTATCTGGCAGAACAACATGAGAGAATGTTTCATTGTAATTGTTAGATATTAATATAAAATTGTTAATATGGTATTACTTCAAAATATATATTATTTTCCTTGCTAATTGTTAGACAATGAATTTGGAAGTTGAGAGACTCTTGGTAAGTGTATCATCATTTTGATCTAAGGCAGGAAGATGAGAGACTTGAATTTCCTTGGCAAGAACACGTTCTTTGACAAAAAATATGTTCAGTTCCATGTGCTTGGTTCTGGCATGTAGTATTGGATTATGAGAAATAGCTATTGTGCTCTTGTTGTCACAACAAATATGAGGAGTGCTAAAAGAGACTTGCAGAAGAGACTTGAGCCAAAGAACTTTATCAGCTTGTATTTTCATCTTCTCTTGTGCAATATGAAGATTTTGCTTCAGGTCTTCTAAGATGGCATTTCTGGCTTGCAACCATTGATCAACAGCTTCTACAGGTGTGTCACCTCTTCCTCCTAAATGCAGAATATCAGGTGGGTCTCTACCATATAATGCTTTGAATGACGTCATCTGAATAGCTCTATTATAGGAAGAATTGAACCAGAACTCTGCCCATGGTATCCATTTAGCCCACCCTTTGGGATGACCGTTAATGAAACAGCGTAAGTCTGTCTCCAAAGTGCGGTTAACGACTTCTGTTTGACCATCTGTTTGTGGATGGTATGCTGAACTAAATATGAGTTTAGTTCCTGCCATCTTGAAGATCTCTTCCCAAAATTTGCTCATAAATACCCTGTCACGATCGGATACTATGGATTTTAGAAAACCTTGCAGTCTCACCACCTCTCTAATGAAAACAGCAGCCACCTCTTGAGCCGTGAATGGATGTGTAAGCGTTGAAAAGTGTGCATACTTGGTAAATCTATCTACAACCACCAGAATGGTATCCACACCTTTAGATTTGGGCAAACCCCTTATGAAATACATCAAAATGTCTTCCCATACCCTCGTAGGAATTGGTAAGGGTTGGAGAAGCCCCCAGGAAGAAGGTTGTCATACTTCTGCTGTTGACAAGTGCTACAAGCTTGAACAAATTCCTTAACATCCCTCCTCATCCTTTTCCAAAAGAAAACATATGCTATTCGTTTGAAAGTTCTCAACTTCCCCGAATGTCCCCCCATGGAGAAGAATGGAATTCTTCCAAAATCACCTGAATATATGGTGAAGCCATTGGAATGACCAACTTGTTTTGGTACCATAAACATCCCGCTTTCACATGATAACCGGGATGGGACTTGTTGTCAATCATCACTTCTCTCATAATATTAAGTGTCACTTCATCTTTTAATACCTCTTCTGCAATGTTCTGTAAATTTGGACAAGACACTAGAGTCAATTCCTTGCACTCTATCACTCTGGATAAGGCATCAGCAGCCTTATTTTCCTCCCCAGGTTTGAACTAAATCGAAATCAGACCCCATTAATTTCGCTACCCACTTCTGCTAATTTTTAGCCATGATTCTTTGATTAGTCTGATATTTTAAACTGCAATGATCTGTTCTAATTATAAAATGCCTACCCATAAGATAGTGTCGCCATTTAATCACTACAAACACAATGGCCTTCAATTCCCTTTCATAATCTTACTGACACCTGGCTTTTTCAGAAAACGCTCGACTTAAAAATGCGACTGGTCTCCTCATTTGCGTAAGGACAACTCCCATGCCCACTCCTGAAGCATCTGTCTCTACAATAAAAACTTCTTCGGAATTTGGAAGAGCTAGAGTGGGTTGTTTCACCATGGCTGATTTCAAAGCTTCAACCGCAGCTTGCGGTTCTGCGCCCCACTTAAAATTATCCTTTTTTAGTAGTTGGGTCAACGGTCTAGCAATTTGCCCATAATGTTGGATGAATCTCCGGTAATAGCCCGTAAGTCCCAGAAATCCCGTCAATGCCTTCAAATTCTGATGTATAGGCCATGTACTCACTGCTTCCAGCTTCCTTGGATCATCTTTTACCCCCTCTTTAGAGATTAAGTGGCCTAAATATTCCAACTCTTCCTCCGCAAAACTGCACTTCTTGTAATTAACATGGAATTGATTCTGTCTGAGGATTTCCAGATGAGACCTTGGGTTGTACCACCCCAAAAGCTAGCTCAAAGGATAAGAGTGTCCCAAGGCCTTATAAAGACCACATTAGTTGCCCATACAACCAATGTGGAACTCCAAGTCCCATACCTTGCAAATGGAACCCAACATTCCACCACGCTTCCCTAGTGCGTGCCCCCTCGCACACTCCACGTGATGGATGCTCTGATACCATTTGATGAGACCTTGGGTTGCACCACCCCAAAAGCTAACTCAAAGGGTGGGAGTGCCCCAAGGCCTTATAAAGGCCACATTAGTTGCCCATACAACCAATGCGGGACTCCAAGTCCCATACCTTGCAAATGGAACCCAACATTCCACCACGCTTCCCTAGTGTGTGCCTCCACGCTCGCTCCATGTGATGGATGCTCTGATACCATTTGATGAGACCTTGGGTTGCACCATCCCAAAAGCTAGCTCAAAGGGTGAGAGTGCCCCAAGGCCTTATAAAGGCCACATTAGTTGCTCATACGACCAATGTGGGACTCTATGTCCCATACCTTGCAAATGGAACCCAACATTAGCCAATGGCCTTGCGGTTTAGTGGAAGAAGAACCAAACTCCAGGTGTCATTAGATTGAAGAGCTTCATGTTCAACTTGCATAGCAGTAAGCCAGTTGGAATTAGTTAGAGCTTGTTTAACAGTGCAAGGTTTCAGAGAAGTCATTAAAATTTCAGGTCTCTAAGTTAAAGGGCAAGTGGGAAAGAGTTGAAAGAGTTAGATGGTACATATTTTGACCCTGAACTTGAAGAAGAGGAAGAAGTAGTGGAATTTGTAGGTGATGCAAGGGAAGGAGTACTAGGAGTTGCAAAGATGAGTGAGAGGATTGAGAAGTAGATTGTGACTGTATAAGAGTTTGAGATGATGTAGAAGAAGGAATAAAGTGAATGGAAGTGACTAGCTCAAAATATAGATGGTTTGGTCCTGAAAGTGCCTAAGAAGGAGACTGAGGGAGAGAAAGTAGGAGAAGAAATATTGATTGAGTGAGAAGGAGATAGTGGGATTAAATTGGAAACAAGAGAAGAATCAAAAGGAGACCTAAGGTTAGTGGAATCCATCTTGAGCCAAGAAAGGAAGGGAACTTTGTCTCATTACACACATCTTTGGAGATGAAGAGTGGGGTCAAAGCATTTATATCCTTTGTTGTTTGGGGAATAACTGAGAAAGATACACTTGTTGGACCTGAAATCAAGTTTGTGATTATTGTAAGTGCATAGAAAAGAAAAACAAGCACAACCAAAAACCTTGAGAAAAAAGTAATCAAGAGACATTTTATACAATTTGGTAAAGGGAATTTCTAAGTTTAGAGTAGCTGAAGGAAGAGAATTGATGAGGTAAACAATTATTAAGAAAGCATGATCCTAGAATTTCGTAGGCAATGAAGCATGTGCCAAAAGGGTTAGCCTAGTCTCCACAATGTGTCTGTGCTTACGTTCAACAACTCCATTCTGGAGATGGGTATGAGGACGGGCTAATTTGTAGGCAATTCCAAGCTATATGATAAGTTGGCTAAAGGGTCAAAATTCTCCGCCCCTGTCAGTTTGAAGAGCTTTAATTGAGGTTTGAAATTTATTACCAATAAGAGTATGAAATTGAGTGAAAACAATTAGGGCTTTATATTTTAATTTCAAAGGATAGATCCATGTATATCTGGTATGGGCATCTACAAAGGAAATGTAGCATGTGAACCCTATGGAGGATTGAACAGGGGCTAGCCCCCACAGATCACTATAGATCAAATCAAAAGGCTTTTGTTATTTTGTAATGGAGGAGAAAGATGGCAATCTATGGGATTTTCACGGACAGCAAGCATTATAGAAATCATGTTCTGTTTTATTAGGTGTTGAAATCTTACAATTATTCAATACAAGCCTGACAGCCTCATTGTGAGGATTGCCCAAGCGGCAGTGCCATAAGTTGTACTTGAAATTCGAAATAGTACGTTTTCCTATTACATTGCCATTGGCACCTACACTATCTTTAGCGAAACTAGTAGAAACAACATAAAAAATAGAACAAAGAGCAGAATTACAACTATGAACAACAGAAGTAAAGTTTCACTAAGGCAGATTTTTTTTACTTCGAATGTGTGATAACTGGACTCCACCAACCGGTATAAGCCATCTGAACCCAGGGTACCCTCTCCAGCAGGACCTCATTGGACCCCTGTGATTTAACACAAGTAAAAGGGTGAAATTCAAAGTACACCCCATTATCTCTGGCAAACTTGCTCGCACTATGTTCTTTGTTGTTGAGGGAACAAGAAGCAAATTATACAAGAATAAATTAGTGTGTGGTTTACGTTGTGAAGGGAAAATGGAAGAACTAGAGGCTATAATTTTCAGACCTTACTCGTTGCCTATAAAGATTTGAGAGCTGAGCACTTTGAAGCAGATTGTGTGGCAATTCAAGATCTCTTCATTAGTTGGGGGGAGAATCTGCATGAATAGGATTTTTTGGGGAACATATCTAAGAGAGAATTGGATTTGGTTTAGACAATGTGTGGTTGGTAAACAAGGATTGGTTTTTTAGCAAGGTACAAAATGTACCATCAAATATTCAGGGGTTATGTGGTGAGATCCTCCTAAGTCAAGATATCACTCCAAAGCTTTTACATTGGAGGGGGTTGGCAGAAGACCATGACCAACTTGCACTGAAGGACTGGTTTGTGGAATAACACGAACAAGAAGGTGCTGCTGTGTGCATAGCTTGTGTTGGAACACCACCGGAAAAAGGTTTGATGCATTGGAAGGATCTTTGATTTGAGCATGAACTAGCTGGCATGAATTACTTGGGGAAATCAGGTGGAGGAAGGATTGGAACGAAATTTTCATCAAAACAATGCCAGCAATTTTGGACTTAATGTCCAAACTTGTAGCAAAGCTGACACTGAACATCAATACAACCTTTGCTACTACTTCCATGATTATTACCAGTAAAGGATCTACCTATACCTCTTCCAGAAATGTTCCGAGCATTGTAGAGATTCTGTGTGTTGGAGTTTCATTCATTCTTCTGATTGTCAGTTTCAGAAGACTTCAGAAAGAGGGCTACGATACCATATCAGAGTTAAACGTGAAAGAGAAAGAAAGTGTGAGAAGAGAGAGAGAGAGAGAGAGAGAGAGAGAGAGAGAGAGAGAGAGAGTCATCGTTTTATTCTGATAAAACAGATACACTGAATCTGAATTTAGAAAGCTCTATTACAGAGCTGTAGGTGACTCAGATCTGAGTCATAAGCCTAATACTAAATGTCTAACTAACAGTAGAAAGGTATCAGTATAGGCGGGAGTATACAAAGAAATACATGCTTTTTATATGCTCTAATGCAAATACTCTAATAGGTTGGAGCACTTGCATGCAGAAAGCTAGATTTGTTGTTTCTGTTTAGCTTGGTTGTCATATCTTCCCTCCTTCCAAATGATTAGCTTTGTATACTGTTGTATATAGTGGATAGAAGATCCATATATTTTCACCTTTGGGATGGCGTTATTCAGACTTCTTAATAATCAAGATTGGAATCTACAAAATATGTATTGTCTCATATTTGGCTTTACTGTTCCGGAAGTACAAAATTAGGCCCAAGATAAGGCCAGATGGTATAAAAGATACTTGATAATATAGGATAAGCTGTCCATCTGCTAAGTTTTTTTAGCATCTGTGTCCATAGCTTAGATTGTGGAGTTCTAAGGGGTGAGGTAAATTTCCTCAATTTGAATATCATGTTTGAAGCAGCCTAGAGTGTTATTAAATTGCTAATATGGCAGAATGGCATAGTGGAAATTGTGCAAAACACCATAAGATGTACATTGCGTTGTAGCTTGTTGATGATGACCTCCACGTTCATGGAAGTATGTATGGCAGAGCCATGAATCACATCTTACTCTGTTTTCGCGTCTCATTCCTCACTGCCTCTCTTTTCACATGCCCTGATTTCACATGAACAAAAGAGTCTTCTCACCACCCATCACCCAATACCAAGAAGTCATGAAGTCCCAAACAGCTGATCTCTTCAACCATGAACAACTCACTGAATCCATCATGAATACCCACGGCCTGCTGTGAATTGCCCTGACTAGATGAGATTCTCTGTTCTGGTGTGTTACCCACGTCTTTCTTTTAGGTTTTTTTTATTTAAAACCCAACTAGCCTTAACCTTTAACCCACCCTTCCTTAACCAGCAACCCACGCAATCCTTAACTTAGCATGTATAGAAGAAAATGACTTCAATTATCTTATGGTTTGGCATTTGTCTTTGTGTTTAGCTACCTTTGTGTTGCATTTATATTGGACTTTGTGATACTTTCAGTAAGCTTGATATGCTAGAAAATGTTTGAATTATGTTTATTATTTTTTATATAAAGTTGTCAGACTTTTATTATTTATATTATGCAGGTTTCATAATATATTTTATAGTTTTTAACATGGTTGTAATGCCTCTGCCATTTGCCACAATGCTGTTTGCTATAATGACATAGCAGATTTTCATCATTTATAACGCACTTCTTTGTAGAATAAGTTTTAGTGCAGATTTGGACAATAATGAAACTGGCAAACTGCTGTTTTATTGTCTCTATAACAGATTTTTTTTGTATTTCAACATCATATTAGTCTTATCAATATTTGTTGTTTACATCCCTTTTATGATCTTTCTGCTTTTCTAATATTTCTTGCCAACTGAACCACTTTGAGACTAAAGTAATCAATTCCTGCTGTTACAATATTTAAATATATTTAGTACAATGATCTAATGTAAATGGTTTCTTAGGTGTTATGAAGCAGAACTAAAGCGTGAAGAGAGAGAAAGACATCCTATTAATCAGAGGGAGAAACATACTCTTTATCCAGTAAGTAGGTCTAATTTTGACATGTAAAGCGAGTGGTTCTGTACTCGTTCATTTCTTCTTATCTTTTGTGTGTGGTTTTATAGCATTCGATTAATCATCTTAGGTCTACCTAGTTCCTATACCGAGGAACCAAGGTGTTGGACAAATATGGAGTTCTAAATTGGAACTGGTATATTGCATGTTTGGTTTTGATTATGTTACAATCAAATTTTACTTTTCAGTGAAAACTCTCTCTTTAGCATTTTTGTTTGAGGCTTTTCTGAAAGGAAAATAAGTTATTTTGAACACACCTAATCTCACGATAGATACTGATTAGAAGTGAATTTGGAAAATTCTGTCACTTGCATTGTCTTGTAGGTTGAAATTACTGATGTACCATCTGATACAAAGGACAAAGATGACATTCTTGAGAGTGAATTCTTTGACACTAGACAAGCATTTCTGAGTCTCTGCCAGGGAAATCATTATCAATATGATACACTAAGGCGGGCCAAGCATTCCTCAATGATGGTCCTCTATCATCTTCATAATCCAACTGCTCCTGCATTTGTGACAACTTGTAATATATGTTATCGTGACATAGAAACTGGTCAAGGTTGGCGTTGTGAAGTTTGCCCTGAGTATGATGTATGCAATGCTTGTTATCATAAGGATGGAGGCATTGACCATCCTCATAAGTTGACAAATCATCCGTCAATGGTTGATCGTGATGCTCAGAACAAAGAAGCAAGGCAGCTTCGAGTATTGCAGGTATTGTACAAGATTTTATTTTTTGCTCCTATGGATTGTCTTATTGCAAACAATGGGCTTATATATCAATTGTATATGTTGTATGTCAAATAAAATAGTAATATATTCATGTGAGGAATTTTGAGCATGAATTGGTATTGCGTTCGTTTATTTATTGGAACAAGTGGAACATGTAAAAACTATGTACTGTGAATTTGAGTTTGAGCAAAAGTATTAAGAATTTTCTTGAATTTGATGTTTGATGATTATCAATGACACCGAGAAAAAGAAAAGAAAAGATTGTCGATGACATGATAATTCTAATATTTTTTAAAAGGATGAAGTCCCAAATTCTTCACATCTGTTATTACATGGTATATAACTGATTATTAATTATTGAATTCTTTATAGTGGATAAGGTGTTGAGATATATAGTCCCACATTGATTGTATGAGCAACTAATGTGGAGTTTATAAGGCTTTGGGCACTCCCACCCTTTGAGCTAGCTTTTGGGGTGGTGTATCTCAAGGTTCTTTACATGGTATCAGAGTCGGGTTGAGCTCGAGCTAGCCTGGTGATTGGCTAGGAGGCGGGTCGAGTACTTTCCACTTCGGGTACTCGGTTGAGGGGGAGCATACCAATAGTGGGTTTCACACTTGAGGGGGAGATTGTTGGGACATTTAAGTGTGATGAGTCCCACATTGGTTGGTAATGGGCTAAGTGAAGAGTATATAAGTGGAAGGACCCATGAATCCCTAGCCTTAAGGTTTTGGGTTGAGACGTGGTGTCGGACCCACTTGATGTACTCGGTGTAGCTTAGCTCATTGGTGGTGGCCCCCGCCATGGGCTTCCCTCTGGACCCGCCTGACATAATTTATTTGTAGTGGTTGGTCCCTAGGGCTATTAAATGTGTCTGGCTTTTCAACCGCGCTTGTCATTAGTGGTTCTTTACATAAGGGATGAATAAAACTTGTGAATATGTTTATGTGCATATTTATACATATTCATGGACCACTTATTGCAACTAGTTTGGGATAAAGGTGTTGTTGATGTTGATGTTGATATTGATGAATATGTGCATTTTCATGAACTTAAGTTGTCATCTTTGAAATGCCTCTTATGTTTTTTAGAAGCATTTGGTCTTCTTCACATGATGTTTTAAATTTTTTTGGTTATTGCTTACTTCTCCAGTCTATATTATGTTTATGAATTTTTTGTTGGCTATTGCTTGCTTATCACCATGCTTGATGGTGTTTATGTTACTTACTTCATCACACCATGCTTGCTTGTTCCCTTGGGCTCTGATACAAATGGATTCTGTTTTTACAGCTTCGAAAAATGCTTGATCTCCTTGTGCATGCTTCCCAATGTCGTTCTGCACATTGCCAATATCCAAATTGTCGCAAGGTGAAGGGGCTTTTCCGCCATGGGATGCATTGCAAAACACGTGCTTCCGGGGGCTGTGTTCTTTGTAAGAAGATGTGGTATTTGCTTCAACTTCATGCTCGTGCTTGCAAAGAATCTGATTGCCACGTACCACGTTGCAGGTTTGTGGGGTCAGGCATTGCCATTTTACTCAAATTAAAAGATTTTGCATGTATTAACTTTTGTGTTTTTTGGGGTTAAATCAGAGATTTAAAAGAACATTTAAGGAGGTTGCAGCAACAGTCTGATTCACGGCGTAGAGCTGCTGTAATGGAAATGATGAGGCAGAGAGCCGCAGAAGTTGCCAACAATGCTGGATGAACAATTTTTACATGTAAATATGGGGCGCTTTGAAGAAATGCTCTAGACAGAGGTAGACATTAGCTTCACCTATACCCTGACAGCAGTTATTGTTTTTTGCGATTGGAATACATAGGATATACGACAGCCTTGCAGGTTCGCTTGTCTATCTCCACATAATTGTCCCAAGAGAAGATCTGAGTTCAGCCATACAGTGCTGCTGCCCTCTCTGCGAGGACTAACCAGGTCCAGCGGGTTATGAAGTGGTGTGTATGTTTTTGTGGGCCGATTTAGTGATTCTTTGATTTTGTCAATTTGTATTATGTCAAATGCCATCCTTTGGTGGCGGGTCCTAATTAATCTCAAATTTCTTATGGGAGGGAGGTTGGTATCAAGCCGTTTTTAGTTTACCCTTTCAAAAATTTACGGCATTTTGTAAAATCTTTTATTTTAAAGATGAAAGTAAATAATTAGAATTCTCGCATATGCGGCAATTCATATTTAATTTTGCTGCTTGAATAGCATCTGCTGTCTCTTACTCGTATCTGTTTTTATTAATATTCCTCTATTATTAACTGCTACGAAAGATATAATGGGAATTTTTATGAAGCTATTGCTATTAATAAATAGTCATATATCATTGGTAAATAAGAAGTATGTGATATGTAAGGAAAGGGGTATTCATGGTATTCGACTTGTATTGGTCTGAGTGGTAAGAGTTTAAGGGTCTGATTGTATTTTTATTTTTTGGGTTTTAAAATTGTTTTGTAGAATAGTTTTTTGTATTTTTTTTGTTTGAAATTTAAAAGTCAAAATATAAAAAATAAAAATAATTCAGATATATTCTATAAATTTGATTCTAAAAATAAAAAAATAGTTATAATTTTTAAAAGTTTTTTTTACAAAAGATGAGTTTTTTTTTTTTTTTTTGGGTTCAGAAAACAAAAAAACTATTTTCAGAAACAGTATTTAAACGGTGCCTAAGCTTTTTAAGAAATGGGTTTAATTTACTGTGTGCTGAAGAAGTTACTATTGAGAAGAACGTTTGGCTCTTGCATTATCGGAGTTCGGAAGAATACTTATTAATTATCGGGTGTGGAATATACTGTGAAATAAAGAGTATGTTTGAATTCTGTTCCAAAAATAATTTTTAATTTTCAGAATAAAAAAATAAAAATGCCTGTTTGATAAAAATGCCTGTTTGATAAAAATGCCTGTTCCAAAAATAAAAATGTCTGCTGAATTAGTAGTTTTCCAGAAAAACCTTGCTGCATTAAAAAAATCATATCAAATCGAATTCAATAGCTTAAAAAAAATCTTCTTTGACACAAGGAAACTAGACATTCGGGGCTTTACGTGCATATAAAAATTATTTCATTCGGAGGTCTGTAGCTCCTGGAACAGAACTCGCAAGGTACCCGATAAATCAGTACAAATTTCCCAAAAACTACCCGACTTGCAAAAATCATATAAAACCAGGCTCTCATGCTTTTGACATAAACTTATAGAATCTGAAACTAGACATCTGAGGCTTTACGTGCATATAAAGTATGTCTCAATCGGAGATCTGTAGCCCCAGAAACAGACTCGCAAAGTGCTCGCTAAATCAGTTTACAAATCAGCATTGAAAACGTTCGTGAATTGTTTTTGCAAAATATAACTAGAATCTCAAAAATTAAAAGCTGACCATAAAAATCATATAAACAGCAATTTAAGTCACTCTTCCAACAGTAGTCCATATTCCCAAAATATTACATCAATATGAGATCATAGGCCAACATCCAACAGACATAGCAGAACAGCAGCAGTCAACAGCAAATATCCAAAATAACCAAATCATCATATGCTTCTACAACTCCCTGCAATTTATAAAAATTGAGCCCCAAAAGGGGTGAGAAAAATCTCAGTAGTGTGATAGTAAAACCAGTATTGCCACAATATTAGTCTAGGTACAAAATTTCAAAACAGTCGCATCAACATTTAAATTCAGAACAAATGCTATAACATAATCAGAATGCATATATAACACCAAAATACTAATCAAGATGCGTATATAACGCCAAAGTAATGTACGTTCATAGCACTGCAGTGCACGTACTACTAGCTAACACAGTGGAGATTCCATATGGCCCCAAAGGTGAATTCCAACTGTGACCTATGCGAATTGAGCCACGGTTCTGTTTCCTGGTACCTGAGGGATGCCTACATGATGCGTGCTCAAACGTATGCTTACTTTTATTATATACTTCGGTTTCCAGAATGAATGCATAATGTTGTATGTTATGACATGATTGGCTTTACACACACATGTGAAATGCAGTTTTATGATGTGCATATGCATGACTAGATCATAATCATAATAGCATATATTTCATGTATTTTTAATACCAAGCTGCCGAATAAAAAATACTTCCCAAAGCAGAATTTCCATCATGTTAAGTCCAAGGGCATAATACAAATAACATACAACAGAATATGAATCCAAGGCAAACGTGAGCAACAATTCACTACTCCATACACTAGCTAATAGTCACAATAGGTCTCACCACCAAACACTTACCTCGGCGCTTACAAACTTTTAATCAAATCTCACCAAACAGTCCACATTTTAGGATCTTGCGCACCTAACAAATATATGTACCAAGTCAGAATTTATTACATAAACTTCCTATACATTACATAGCTTTTCCATCCTCCTAAATCCTTGATTTATGATCGGGTTCCATGTTCACATACGAAACAACATTCTTCCATAAGATTGGTTTACCAATTGTCCTCAATTGTCAAAATCCAAGGTAATCCACACATGTATGTTCGGTTTTCAATCATCACTAGGTGCTTATGATTTTCATTTAACAAAACGCTACCTTCATCATTTATACATGAGCTGATTAGATTATTCAACATGTTGTCTTCTCGAGTTATAAACACATGCAAGGCTTGAATCAAATTGGGTTTCATGGTCCTTGCACTAATTTAATTATTTTGACTTAGAGCTTATTTCACCAATAGATAATAAGTGACATAATCATGATCTTCCATGCATGTACGTTCGGTTTCTTGTCCATTAATTAGGTGCTTATACTTCACAGTTTCATAATATTTCTACATGACTTGGTGTAAGTGATTAGGGTCCTTAATATGCTGTCTTCACGGTTTTTGCATAGACAAGGCTAGATATATGATGCCAATTAATGAAACAGTCCAACATTTCGGTGAGGGCTTATTCCAAACCCCAAAATTAGTTCATAGGCTTGCATGCAAAAAGGGTTGGCTGTCCTCACACTAGGCAGAAACAGGGAAGGAGGATGACAACAATCAATTCTCCTTGTACACATACAAAATTCGAAATAGTGAAGAGAAGGAAATGGCTGGAGTTGGAACAGTGACCAAAATGCCACTGTTCACCAACTTCTTTACCTAAATGCCACGCGAACAATGTAATTTCCCAATCTGCCACGGGGGCAAGTTCGCTACCCGGTGTAGCGAACTCGGTTTGCTGACGTGTCACGTTTCTAGTGGACACCAACTTGATTTTAACCAAGTTCGCCTACATGGTAGGCGACCTTCATTTTTTATTATTATTTTTTTAAAATTTGATACTTGTTATCCATTAAAAGTGTGACACGTCTGCAAACCAAGTTCGCTACACAGGGTAGCGAACTTGCCCCCGTGGCATATTGGGAAATAACACTGTTCGCGTGGCATTTAGGTAAAAAAGTTAGTGAACAGTGGCATTTTGGTCAGTGTTCCGCTGGAGTTCTGGTCTTTACCTTCTTGTAGGGACTCCAAAATTCACCATTGGTCAAGGGGAATAGCTACCAAGGAGCGAGCAACTCTTTCACTCCTCCTATGCTCCACAACTCGGTTTGTCACTGCATGCAAGTGAGGAAGTTCCATCAAGGGCCGGACAGAGGGTGTAGGAACGATGGAGTAGATGAACATAATACCTTCTTGAACGTTGATGTGCAGCTGACCAGTACAGAAGAAGAGAATCGAAACTTGGTGATGATGTTTTCCTCTCAACTCACGGTTTTGAGGAGATGAGGGGAGGATTGCTCACGGTTTTTGTGTGGTAGGTGAGGATGAGGTGAATTTTTTTTACTTTGTGCTCTTCCCCTAAGGCTGGCGGTGTAGAAAAATGATAGTGACAAACATACAGCTTTGGGGTTCCAAGATCACACGCATAGGGAGGAGAAAGGAGCCTAAGGTGCGGCTGAGTTTGGGTCAAGGGCAGAATTGATAAACACCCAGCTTGAAGCTCCACCACTAAACGCATGGAGAGGAGAGGGTGATGTGAAGGCAGAATGATATATTTTGAATTAAAAGATACAAACAGATGAACTTTACCCCTATAAGGCGTACATGGAGAGAGGATAAGATGAGATTGAGTGTGGGGAGTTGGACCAATAAAGAAAATTGAAATCTCTTTACTTTCCTCTCATTGGCCGAAGGGGCGGCTAGGGCTGATTGCTTTTAGCAATTGACGAGAATATTACCTTATTTCATTCCTATTCTGCGCACAATTGTGAAAGGGATGATAAAGAAGAAAGTGTGATTTTCAGCCAATGGGGCATGCACTTAGAATAGACCAATAGAGAACCATTCATTCAGATTTATTAAAATAGATATAAGGAATAAGATGTATTTTATTATTCCCTATTCATTCTACGTATTAAGATTTTCTATATTATAATTAAGTTACTCCTATCCTTTTAACTAGAGTTTCAAATTCCTAAAACACATACTCACACCTAGTTATATTTAGCATAATTTTCATGGTTTAAATTAAGTCCACCCTAAACATACATAAGATCCGAGTTCAAGACAAGCCTCTATGTTTCCCACTAAAATTGATATAACTTCCTAATTTCGTGGGATGTTACACTAGTGATATGAAAGGACAAGTTTTCTCTAAAGGAAGGTGCATTTTGGGGCAAAGAATACATGGGATGAAGTGAAAGATGTAATCGTGAGAGAGAGAAAGAGAAAGAGAAAGAGCGGAGATCTAAAATATGAGGTTCTCCAATCTAAGATTTGACCCCTTCCAAACAGATAGAGGAGGAGGAGACAAGTTGAGCTACATTGACGCAATGAACAAAGACCAGCAACACAACATGTAGACCTCACATGCCCAAGAAAAGCCACACATGGCATAAGAGCGACTGGCTGCAATCGACAAATCAATGTCCTCTGAGTTGATTGGTCACCTTATTTTTTGCTATTGAAGCTCTCTAGAGTTCGGTCCTGCCTATGACAAAGTATTCTAGAGTGTAAAAGGAGCACAAAAAACCTAGAGCCCATTCAGCTTAGGGCTAGGGTTTCTTGGAACCCATAAGGTCTTCACTTAGTGATTGCAGAGGTTGAGGTAAGGTTATCTTCGTGATAGTGAGAGAGTGTCCACACACCAACCCTATTTTCTAGTTGAAAGATAATCTGAAAGATCTACCACTAGCCAGCCTCAAGGAGATTGTTCA